GTGGGCACTATTTTGAAAAAAAAATGGTCAAATTTCTCATTTTGTTGTTGAGAGTAGTGGAAACAAATAGAGACTTAGTAGTAAAGTTGGGTAATCATCACTATTCCCATATGTAATAGATTTTCCTTTTACAGAATTTTTAAAAAGTTAAAAATTGTTCAGAAGACTAAAAAATTACTTTTGAACATATTTAAATAATTTTTTGAAAGTTATTTGTCTGATATTTAAAGAAAATTGATTTAAAATAACTCCACGAAGATGAAGCAAAAGTAAATATTAAAAGCAAAAATTAGAGTAATTACTCCCAACCCTATTTTTAAACTATCATATTCAAAACTAAGATTTAAAGAGTTTTTTTGTTCCAAAAATCAGATGATAATTTAAATTTTAAATAATGATAATATTATTAAAAAAATTAAATTATTCTTCATATTCATCCCACCATTATCTACCCTACCCAATTTCACTCCCAAACCGTAAATATTTCCCTCTCTCTATACCACAATTTCCTCTTATCATATGTTCTCTCTTTCCCCCCATTTATACCGGAGCCTCTCCATGAAGTAGCGCCTATGGCGGCAGTGCGATGCCAATTTAGAGAGATGATTCAGAGAGACGGCACAGTGTTGATTCAGAGAGATGGTGGAAATGGTATGCGACTTTAGAGCGACGACGTTAATCTACAAGGTAGATCGGCAAGTGGCGTTAATCTGAGAGCTGTGCAAGGTGGATCGGCATGAGATTTCGATGGCGGTGGTGTTAAATATGTCCCACATGAACAAGGGTAATATGGACATTATTTGGACTTAATGACGATATATTGCTTGCCAGCAATGATCTTGGTTTACTGAATGATATCAAGAGACTTCTTTCTATGAATTTTGAAATGAAAGATATGGGTGAGGCAACTTACGTGATAGGAATTGAAATATTTCGTGATAGATCATGTGGATTGCTAGGGTTGTCTCAGAAGGGATATATCGATAAAGTTCTTGAAAGATTTCATATGGCTGAATGTGCGGCCACTCTTGCTCCTATTTGTAAGGGGACAAGTTCAGTGAAAAGGATTGTTGACAGAATGCATTAGAAAAGAAAAGAATGGAAAATATTTCTTATGCATATGTTGTTGGAAGCTTGATGTATGCTCAAACTTGTACAAGACCGGACATTAGTTTTATAGTTGGAATGCTCGGGAGATACCAAAGTAATCCCGGAATGGAGCATTGGAAAGCTGCAAAGAAGGTTTTGAGATACTTGAAAGGAACAAGATACTACATGCTCACATATCGAAGGTCTGATCAGTTGGAGGTGGTTGGCTACTCAGACTCAGATTTTGCTGGTTGTGTTGATAGTCGGAAGTCAACTTTTGGTTACTTGTTTCTATTAGCTAGAGGAGCAATATCATGGAAAAGCGCCAAACAGACTATCATAACAGCATTTACTATGGAAGTTGAATTTGTGGCGTGCTTTGAGGCCACAGTTCATGCTTTATGGTTGCGAAATTTTATCTCGGGACTTGAAATTATCGACAGCATTGCCAGGCCGCTGAGAATGTATTGCGATAATTCCGCAGCAATCTTTTTCTCCAAGAACGACAAATATTCTAATGGCCCCAAGTACATGGAGCTCAAATATTTGGTCGTTAAGGAGGAAGTTCAGAAACAAACAGTGTTTATAGAACATATTAAAACTGAGCTCATGATTGCAGATCCTCTGACTAAAGGGTTAGCACCAAAGACATTTAAGGAACATGTCGATCGCATGGGCTTTGTTGCAATCCCTGAGGTATATTTATGCATGTTTATTTATTTATTTTTTGTTCTATAACATTTGTAGAGATATCACTAATTGTGTTTCTGACATCTTTCCTACTTACCATCAATTACGTAATTATGGAGATGAATTATTGATGACAGGAATCTTCTTTGACAAAGACATTACAGTTACTTCCTATTATGGATTATAATTAAGTAATTTGCTAGCATTGTAGTACATGGAAGGGAAGATGTCACTTTATTGATATTTACTGTCATGACTCATGTTGGTAAGTTATTTAATTATATATTATTGTAATCTTACTAAAGTGCAAATAAGCTAATGTTATGCGCATATTATGTTTATCTTATCAATCCAAATGAGTATCGTTCATGTAGGCCAAGTGGGAGAATGTTAAAATATGTCCCACACGAACAAGGGTAATATGGACATTATTTGGACTTAATGGGATAAGGTGGTTATTGGCTTTGAAATTGAAATGCATGGTTGCACAGTTACAGTGAGAAATGGGAAGTTATTTCCTATGTGCCTACTTTTATGGGAAGTAGGATAATTGTTTATATTTTTACATGTACATAGGAATTGTCCTCTCTCTACCCACATTATATTTTATCAGATTTTCCCATATGTTCTGGTGAAGAGAAGAAAAGGGGTGAAGTGAGAGAAATAATTTCTACAAGCTTTCTACACGAAGAAGATTTTATTATGGTTGATCCCGGTATGTTTAATGAAATATTTATTTCCGCATGAGTATGTGATCATCATGATAGTCGAAGATTCCTGTTTTAGTCAATTAAATTTTTACAGGTGGTAATTTGAAAGTGGCGTCGCTTGGCACCTTTGCATTGCGACGATGGAGTTGTCTGTGAGATTCTGAGAGGTAGAGCGCCGCTGAGAGATCTCGATGCTTTGCGAGGTAGAACAGCGAGCAATACACAGATTCTGATACCATTGGTGATGTTTGTGATGACAGTCGGAGTCCACTAGGTCGTGCAATTGCTGGTGTTTGAGGTGTGGTGGTGTTTTGTGGTTGGGCAACGATTTTTGGTGGTGGTAGCGTTGTTAGTTGTGGTTTATCTCGCTACGACAGTAGTTCTCATGGTGGTGTGGTTGTGGCGGTAATGGTGGTTGTGGTTGTAAGCTACCTTAGTTTTTTGTGGTGCTATGGTGATTTTTCCTTTGATTGATCACGGTGGTTTTTGGTGGTGGGGGGTTTGTTCAAGATGGTGGACATGGTGGTGGTGCTGCCCGTTGTCGTGCGACGGTGATGTTAGCTCTAGCGGTGGCGATCTCAAATGGTGGTGGTGATCACACATTATTCGATTGATTGTGATTAATAAATAGGCTAATGTGTGACCAATAAATAATATGTGACCAATGAAATAGATAAATTGTGACCAGTAAATAACGTGTGACCTAAAAATTTGTTATTTAGTGACCAATAATTTAATAATTCATGACTGTATAATAAGTCGTGACTTATAAAATTTGTGATTTGTAATTGATAAATAAATTGTGATTCATAATTTTTTTTATTTGTGACCGTGAAATAATTTGTGATCTATAAAATTTTTGTTTTGTGATCGAGAAATAAATTGTAACCAATTAATTCGATAATTGTGATCAAATTGTATAGAATTATGACTTTAATATATTTAATTTATAACATATATTTTAGTTAATTATTTCATAAATAAAATTTAATTAATATTTGATTTTTAAAATTTTAAACCACGTTTCTTAATTTTGAAATGAGTGATACTTAATCTTTTAAATATGAAATTTTTTCAAAATAAAGTGCCTGCCAAACGGGCTTTTAATCATAGTTGGGCCAATCCATTTCCTGAACTACACGCCGCTTCCCTAACACTATTTCTTTAATTAATATTTTTTATTTTCTATTTCCTCTCTTGCTCATATTCCAATTTCTAGTCCGCGAAATCCCATTTATAATTTTTTTCTACGGATTCTCTCTCTGCCTGATCCTCTTCCGATAGGTAACTAATTAATTTATAGTGTATGTGCACATCGGTTTAATTATAACTTATTTATTTAATTTTTTTTTTTGCCTTTCATTTCTACTAATTACTGAGCTTGATTCAAATTTATTTTATTTTTTTTCTCTGTTAATAATCTACACCTGATAATTGTTATTTGTTTATTTTTTTTTCTTCTAATCTTCATAATCTGATAATTCTAGAGGATAGAGGGCAATCTTAAAGTAGTACAGTACTACAGGCTGATGTTGTACGCCATGCTTTACTACTCGTATCTCGCCCATGCGATTGTTCCTTTGACGCCTTCTGCGTCTTAGTTTTTTTTTTAATTTCATCGCTGGATTCAATTTTTTCCCTCTTGTTATTATATTTTCATGGGTTTTCACCTCATTTTGTTTACTTTTGGGTCATGCTGATTTTTGGAGATTAGAATAATATTAGTAGTAGTATTGTATTATTTGAAATGTACCCATAAATAGAGTTTGAGAGTTTATTATTGATTGATATGTGGAATATCAAGTGTAGTCTTGTAAGCCATGTTGTAGATCTGTGGATTTTAAGTTTGCATTGATGAGTTAGCTGGGATGTACGAGTCATTTCATTGGTCAATGAGAAATTAAGTGCCTGTTTGTCAACCATTATTGAGAAGAAAATGGTGTAATGGATAGTATTTTTTGGAAAATGTGTGGTTGAAATTGAAAGAAACTTTATCGGTTTATGTGTAGAATATTTTATTATTTAAATGTGTGGTAGAGATTGATTACTGTTGAAAATAATTTTTTGAAAAATGATAGACAAACAGGGGCTAAATATTAGAGGTGTCAAGACGGACGGGCCGGCCATGACCCGTGAAAACCGGCCCGTGAAAATCGGGACCGCGGGCCGACCCGTGACCCGTGCGGGCGGTTCANATGATTTATAAATTTTGCCACGCCTAATTTACACATTGACTTGTAAAGTACATGGGCGTGCATTCTGTCAAAAATTGTCAATATTACCTCCTTTCAGTTTTTTAAGTGCGTAGTTTAATATGCCATGCTGATCCAACTAGGTGATGAGCTATTTATTTTACTTTTCAACAAACTGTGGCCTTGGCTAATTGACTAGTTAGTTAGAATGCTCCTGTATTCAATGCACGTATAAAGAATTTCTCACTTTCGATACTTAGTGACGGAATTTATCATGTTGACAGGATAGTTTAGTGTTTCAATGGCGACTAGAACTGCTATGAGATATGTATCTCGCCGGCTCTCAAGCAGTGGCCGAGTACTGAGCGAGGAGGAAAAAGCTGCAGAAAATGTCTACATCAAGGTAAAGTTGAATTTTGGCACAAGACCCGCAGTAATTTTCAGTTGATGGAGCTATGGCAGTTGCATGTTTGGTTGCATTTTCTATGAACTAGAGTTGTAAGACATTTAAATCGATTTCATACTATAAGCATGCCGTGACAAAGAGTAGTTTAACTTATTTGCTAAATAAAATAAAAAGTATACGACGATTCTCAAACACCTCACGGTCGTAATCTTCTCCCCCCATTATGTCTTAAGGAGGTCTTCTGTTTTATTCGTCTCTTTTAATATGGCATCCCAATATACCAGTTTTACACCCTAATCAGCTTCAAATCGGGAGTCTAGTTCAAATTGTCAAAACTTATCTTATTTAATTAAAAGGGGTAAGTCTCTGTGCGTTTCGACGCAACAAAAATGACTGCATATTTTTGGGTTTACCAGCTTGAACTCTTTTTTCTCTTTTGGTTTATATATTATTTACCTGTTGAATGGGGTTAAGTCAATCCATTTCAATGGCTGTTACTATTTTTATTTTTTATTTTGCTCAAGGTTTGCACTCTTACTCTTGCATTCAGCAACGAGTAGTCTTAACACTTGATTTAAAACTGTTTAGAATTTTCTGGCTGCTGAAACTTTTGCAATGTTCACAGAAAAAGGAGCAAGAGAAGTTGGAGAAACTTGCTCGTGAGGTATACCTATGCTATATACTTATAAATTATGTATACTGCTTATTTCTGAGGTTTTGAGTAAAGTGACTGCACCAATTAGATTTGATTAGACGATCATATTGTTATCAAAGTTTTGGTGGAAGCTGTAAACACTAATCCTATGGATTCAAAACTAGACCGAGTCAGTTAGATAATAACCTACAACTGAGTAGGCCTTTCATGAAAAAGTACAAATAAATGTTTGGCTAAGATTTAGAAAAAGGAGTAAAAGTAACTTTTTATTTCCAAATGACATTAAGTTAGAAAAGTTAGTTTGAATGTAAGTCTTATCTTAGGGCCAAAACAATTTAGCCTAGGTTACTGCTCTTAGCCACATGAGTAGTTCATTGTGCTCATCGGTCCAGTATGGCTGAGGTACAATAAAAGGCAGATAGCAATAAAAAACTATTTAGTTTAAAACTTAGGGTGCGTTTGATTCGGTCCAAATTCCATGGAAAATGGAAAATGTTTTCCTTTTTTCCACTTTTCATGTGTTTGATGTGTCTTTTTTATAGGGAATCCATTTTCCACCTATATTCTAGGTACAACAATTTAATGCATGTTTGCTTGATTTTGTTTTCCCACCTATTAGGTGGGAAAACAATTTTCACCTTTTTTTTTTTTAAGCAATGGCAACCAATTCTATAAACCATTGTAAAAAGAATTTTCATTTTTGTTGACAATTTCTATGCAAAACAAAGTCAAACAAATATGGTAATTTTTTCTAATGGTTTAATTGTTTATTTTGTTTTTACTTTTTAGTAATTGGAACAAATTCTAGACGTATTGGTAGAAAAAATTATCACTTTAATGGACAATTTTCATAAAAAATGAAGCCAAACGGATACCAAACTTTCAACATTTTTCAAGTAGAAAATTATACCAATCAAACACAATTAATTACAATTCCCAATAAAACAAATTCTAGGCAATTCAATTCCCAATAAAATATTTTCTTTCCACCCATTTTCCACTTTTGCAATCAAACGGACCCTTAATTTCTTAGAAGTTAGCTTTTTAAGCTTAGCCAAACATACTAATGTATTGCTTTTGTGCTGATGGGAACTTTGTGAAACTTTATTTGTTCGACTGATAGGAAGCATATTGTTAGATCTGTTACAATGTACAACTGTGCACACATTTGAATTCGAGGTTTCTGCAACACGTAGTAGATTCGAGCTTTATATTATTCGTTCTTGTTTTTCATTTTTTCTTGGATTATAACATTTAAGCTTCAACATGAGATTTACGGTTATGATAATTCCCAAGGGCCCAAAACAAGAAAAAACACCTGCAGCTGACTCAGGAGGCTCGGGTTCGATATCCGATGCCAAACCAAGTGGCCAGACCTCTTCAACACCCAAAGTGTCGACTGACAACTATAGAAACTACGCTGTTGTAGCGGGTATTGCAACTGCTTTTGCTGCTTTTGGATGGTATTATGGGTCGAAGAAGAAGGAATCTGACAAAGTGCAAGATTGAGTCAATTTCTCCAAATAAAACTTATGAAGCAACACCATGTTTCTGTTGCATTTTGTTTACGGCACGAATCTCACTCTGTGTCTGATGCCATCTGAGAACTCGTTCTTGACGTTAATGTCAAGTTTAGGATTCTCTAATATGCCCTCAAATTTTCACTTATTTTTGGCTCATTATCACCTTCTTTGGTTTTCGATATCACTTGCTTTGCTGGGAAAACAAGTTGAATACGAGAACATGGAGCCCTTGGAGATATATTTTCAGCCTTGTTCTTCATACTCTGAATTTGAAGTTTTATTTTTTTTAACACGTTATTTCACGTGCATATTATCTATACAAAGAATAGAAAAATATGAGGAAATACATCGATTTTCATCGTCCCAACAAAATAGCAGTTAGTTTATAGAGGTAACAAAAATATTTTATCCACAAAAAGAAATTCGTTCTCATTGCCAATTAAATGTTGTTTAATTCATTAATGTCAATTCCACCTAAAATCAAGTTTATTAATGATCATTTGATTTCTCGCAAGTGAATGAGATCGTGAACAAGTAACATAGTAGTGTGTAAAGTGTCAAACCCATGAGAATTACGTATTCAATCGAGTTCAAATTAATAGTAATCTTAATCGAATAGCAAATAGATTGAGTTTTCTATACTAATCCTTAAATTATCAATTAAACTAATGAAAGTAAGTAAGTAAATATGTTTTACAAATATGTGAGATGCATTGTTAAGATGTCGAACCCTTCTTGTTATTCCATTTTTATGTAACGATTAAAGTGACAATTTGAAATCATTTATGTTAATCAATGTTCCTAATTTAATTGAAAGACTCTCTCGATAGCGATCAAATCTATTCCGATCATGTGACCTTTCTATCTCTCAATAAAAGATATAAACATGATAAATGCATTAATAAACACTAGAACATTTATTGAAACTATAAAACATAAATGTATATTTCTATCTTCTATCGAACCTTGTAATGTTTATTATATTGTGCTTAAACCATATTGTCTCTCTCAATAACAATAAAATTCACTAACAATTCAATTGATGATCAAGCAATTGAATTGGAAGATAAAACAATAATAAACAATCACAAACCAAATCAAATCAACGTCAAAATAATTAATTAAAACCTAAAAACATCACAACAATGGTTTATCTCATCCTAACAATGTATAAAATTAGCCTAACATATTGAAAGTAAAAGAAATAATATTTAAGTGAAAAGACATAATCCAGATTTTTGATAAATTGAGAAGATGAAGATGAATTTTTAAATCTGGAATCTCTTCAATGATTTTTTGATGAATCTCCACTTGCGTCTTCTCTTCTTTGCCCAAAAATTAGGTTTGAATCTTCATTTGATTGAATTTTTGGAAATTTTCTTCAATTCTCTCACAAAAATTATGAATTCTCCTCCATTGATGATAATAGTTGATGAATAATGGAGTATAATATGTATATGAAATATCTCAACATGTATTCTGTTATTTCGTATTTGTAGGAGTCGAACATTGGTAGAAACGTCCAAATTGACTTCCAAAAGAGTTCCAATCAAATAAGGAAAGTTGTCTTCCCGTGCAGATTTTTGTCCATGCACATCATTCAATATTTTGATCATAACTTTATCTTTTGATATCCGATTGATGTAATTCAAAGTGTATTGGAAAGAAAGCTCAAAGGCTACAAGTTTTATAGAAATAGGATTTTCCCAATTTGGGCGTTTACTATGCCAAAATGGGTTTCAATCTCCGACTAGAAATCTGAAATATAACTTGTGCGATTGAAAATTGATTTTAATCTTATTCCATTCCCTTTTGAGTTCTAATTACATCTAATTGTCTTCTAGAAATCGTCAAAATATCATCTTGTGGTCCGAATCAACTATAGAATTTGTAATTTGATCCCCAAACTTTGGACTTTGCCCATTTTCACCAATTTTTGCTTCTTTCTTTCAATTCCTCGTCCAACCATTAAGTTTTACCTATATAACATAAAATACAACAATTTAGGATATATTTTGTCAAAATAACTATCAAATATCACTATTTTAGATCCCATGTGGAATGCATTTTGGAACAGTAGATTGATGAAGAATGTGTGATTAAAAATGAAAGAAAAATTTTTGAGTTGTGTGTAATATTATTTATTGAAAAATGTGTGATTGAAATGAAAAGAAAGAAAAATGTATTTTGAAAAA